TTCTCTTCTAGCACCTAGGTTTGAAAGCTCCCAAGACCTCAGTTCCTTGTATGCAGGGATGGGAGCAGAAAGCTTCCTCTCCCATCAAGTGCGTAGCTACACACAGGCTTAGTTTACCTCATTAAATACTACAACATGACCATCAAACACACAATCACATAAATAAAGACTGTCTTGTTCTCTGCCCTCAGTAACTGCAGAACTAAGAACTTGGCAGAAGTCTTAGCTCTAACCCTTCTTGACCTTTAAATGTTTTATCTTGCAACTTTATATTCTACCTGGAATAACTCCCATGGGGGAAAAAAAAAAACCACCAGTAATTTTCTCCTTATGGACATTCCAGGGGAATATCCTTTTCCAATAACTAAATTGTAAAATAGTTTATATAAAAAGCTCCATATATTATACTTAAAAATACTGATGAACATCTCTCACTATTTGCATTCAAGTATCTTTCCTCAAATTCAAGACATCTCTTTTTGAAAAGTGTTTTAGAATGCAATTAATGTGTTATAATGTACCATAAGCTATTTTTCAGGCAAGTCTGAGTTCAGAGAAACAGCAGATTAAATGCTTTGAAGATTATCTTGGAGGAGCGAAGTCAGATTCACTTGTTACCAGATAAAGACGTTCTAGTTGACAGATGAACATTCATATTTTATTGTTAAACAAACTGGTATCTCACCCCTACAGCTACCACCACACTACTATGTATTTTTTAAAATTTTTTTCAGAAAATAATATTGTGTTTTACCATATCCTTAAAAAATGAGCATCTTGAAATTACCTGATCCTCAAGTCAAAGTCAGCATACTTGCAATTTCCCAACACCTTTTTTTTTTTTTTTTTATTTTTTTGGTAGCCAGACATACATGCACCATAAATGTTAAAGCAACGATAACACTTGATCCCAGGCTATGTGACAGAATGTCCTTTTGCTGTATTACAGGTATCCCAAACTCCTGTGCTATGAGTGGCTAGGCAGGACTCAAGGTGCTCAGAAGGAAGGAAAGGTCAAAATGTGATAAATGAAGCAATGGGCAGAAGCTGGCTGATATCATCTACGTTTTATTGCCACAAGACGTTCTTTGTTTCAGCAACCATTTTGGATTATCTGTGTAATTCAAGGGATTTCTGTAGTGCTTGTCAACCCCTCTTTGCACAAACACACTCAACAGCCAGCACCAGACCTTCTTCACCGAAACCAGACGTAACACAGTAGGGCTTCCCAGCAGCTCGGAGAAACTTGCTCCTGAATGTGGTCCAGCGGCTATAACTGATGGCCTTGTAACAGGACTTGCACATGTTACTACCATCACCTTAAGCGGCACTTAACTGACATTCTTGATGACAATTTTGACAGAACAGCCAAGAGCTAGTATAGCACCAAAACTGGAAAGAGTCCACAAAGGCCACGAATCCTTCTCCCTGCCCTGTAAGGGTCTCTCAGTATGCTTGACAACATACACACACATTATAACAACAGTATAACCTGGCTCTGCTAATGGAACAGCACAGCAGGTGCTAGAGTCTGGACAGATACTGACATTAACCTAGTCGCATTCATCAAGGTTGCTAAAAGAAAAGGACTGGGGCCAAAAAAAAAAAAGTTTCCTAACACTTTTTGCAGAGCCACTAGCACGGTGAAACCATCCAATCAGACAGACACAAGTGCTGCATGCAGATCAGTGCTACAGAGCTGAAAGTTTTTTCCCCTCCTCCTCCTGCCTTTTGCTTGCTACTCATACAGCGTAACTGTCTCTAACACTGGATTCCCATTTTCTTTTCCTTGCCACCTGCCTTTTAATCTTGCCAAAGGCCCTATTTGCATTAACTTAATCAATTGACTACTCCCTCAAATGTAATTTTAAAAGCCTTAAAACTTTAATATGCCCTGCATTTCTCACTTAAGTGAGGGGAAAGCAGAACTGAAAGAATTTGAACTACGCACAATGATTTAACTGAAATACCTATCTCAAACTTTCATCTCTACACTGCCCGCGCAGAAGATAATCTCTCTGTGTACTTCTAGTAGCGTAAAAGGCATTTTAAAGATCATTAATTGTCACTACAGTCTTGCAAAAACACTGTATAAGAACCAAAAGGAAGGACAGAGAGAGATTTCAATTTAATAAAGGTACCCAACACGGACAGAACTTTAGCAAAGTTTAGCACTTTGCAAACAAATTACACCCTGGTTTGTAATAACTTAGAAGCAGGCTTCAACCAGAACTCGTTTTCAAGACGACTGCTAGGCAAACAGAATTGCAGCACAATCACAAGAAATAGGGGTGGCATGTGTTTTGAGAAATTACTTCATTCATCTTTCAGCCCCAAAACAGGACCTGATGCCATCGTTCCTGAGAGAGGTTTATCCAACCTGTCTTTAAAAGAAGACTCTGCAACCTCTCCAAGTTTTATCGGTATTCATACTACCTAACCTAACTCCTTTCCCTGCAGTTTAAGTATCACCTTACTCTTCCTATCCCAAGTGAGTACACAGAACAGCCTGTATGCCTCCTCGATGCGGCTGCCTTTTGTAGATTTAAAACTCAGTTACTGTCAGTTTTCTCTTGCCTAGGCCAAACATTTCTGGCTCCTTCCATTACTCTGGACACACTGTGTGCTAGGCTCGTGATCATGATTTTTCTGCTGAACTTTTTCCAGCTGGCCACCATGAAGTGCACTACACAAAACCGGGCAGAGTACTCTACATAAAACAGGACTGCGTCATGTATTTTACAGGCCATAACTCTGCTTGTACATCCCTGTGTGACACTGGACAGTGGAAAATACCGTTGATTCATGTTCAGCTTTTCATCCAGTACAATACCCAGATCGTTTCCTAAGGAACAGCTGCATAAGCTGTTTTTATCCTCATTCTATGTTTCCGCAGCTGCATTTTTGCCCAAATGTAGTAATTCCACATGCCCGCAGGGAGCCACCACTTGCTTTTCCTTCAAACCACTTCTCTAAATTGTAAGCATCGCTATGAATCCTAATCCTGTCCTTCAGCATGCCCGCAGCACCTCTCAGTATCCTGTCACCTGCATCGAAGTCATTAACTAAAATACTTAACAGTAAAAAGCCAGGAAACACTCGGCGCTATATCACTACCTTTTTGGGTGGGTTTGGGGGGTTTTTTTTTTGGTCAGGGAAACCTGAGAACAGAGCTTTATAATTTTCCAGGCAGGCCTGCAATCACACTGACAGAATTTATTGCAGGGCATAGCTCCCCTTGTTTATCAGCTTACTAGAACAGCACGAGAGAAAGTACCAAAAAGTTCACTTAAGTCAAGTTATAAGAATTCAGCAGATCCTCCTCTATTCATGAGGTCTGTCACCCTATCAAAGGAGGAAATTAAATTGGTTTTGACATTATTTGTTCTTGAGTCAGCTCTTACTCATCGTCCAGTCATCTTCTCTCGGCTTGCAAACAGCACAGCAATCATTTGTTTCAGTATTTTTAGAGAAATTAAAGGTAACTTGACAGGGTCAACAACCCCTCTGTTCTTCCTTTCCTCATTTTTAAAGACTAGTATTGTGTTTGCCATTCTCCACTCTGTCATCTCACCTGCATCCCATCATTTCTGAAAGGCACAGCACTGAGATCATCTCAGAAACTGACTGGAGCAAACTACAAGGAGCTCAGCCAGGCCCCTACCAATTTAAAATCACTTCACAAAATCAAGCATTTGAACATGATTCATCTTAAGAGGCGAGACACTGTCCTCTGGATGTGCCCCACTGGCTGCAGAGAAGGTTGAGGCACATGTTAACCTTCTAAAGCTGAAGTTAGAAGTCACAAACCCTAAACTCCATGTCCTGCTGTATTAATTTTTCACTAACTGTCCAGGTAGCCAAAGTCTAACATAACCAGCAATTTGGATTCACTCTCTGATACAAGTTACAAAAAGCCTTATCTTCCTGATCTCGTTAGTTTAATGGTCTGTAAAAAAAAAAAAAAAAAAATCCCTCTGAAATTACTCTGATTCTTTCCCCCCTTATCTTCCTGGTTTGATTTGTTTAAAGTTTTGTAAAAAAAAAAAAAAAAGAAAAAAAATCCCTCTGAAATTACTCTGATTCTTTCCCCCTTTAACATGATTATTTTATCACGTCTTTTTCTTCTATCATCCAGCTCTTACATCAGGATACATAACTGAGTCTTACTGCCCAGTACATTTCTCTTTTCCTTCATGGTTATCTTACTGAGTCAAGCTACAAAACCCCATTTTACCACACCAATCAAGTGAATTATTCTTCCAAGTATACACCAAGTAAATATCTTTGAACATATAACATCTCTTTTTGTATATTTTCTTGATATCCTGCGTTAAATACTGCTTCTCTGCTTTGCAGCACTGTGATCTGCCACCCTCCTCCTCCGTTCCCCGTGCTCAATACTCCAACTGTGAGAAATGCGATATCCCCTTTTTCTTTACCTCCCACCATAGCATAATTTACTTTAAAATGCTCACTAATAAATTAAAAATACAGCCCTCTCTCTTCATGCAGAGATGTTCAATTACTATAAACGCAGAAAAAAAAGTAAGGACAGAAACATGGATTGAAGGGCTTGGACTCAACAATTTTTACATCTTTTTCCTTACAAATCCACCTACCACATTAGCCAGAACATACAGCCCTCGCTTGTTCTTAATTCTGTTTTGTTGATTTTTAATTACTCAATTCTTACATTTACATTTTCATGATGTGTATAGACCGTCACTGGCTGGTAACTGATTTTTTTGTCATTTCCAGAGTACCCCCCACCAACAGCTTTGATGCTTGCAGCTTTCTTTAGAAGGCAAGCTCATTGAAACTGGTTTGGAACTGGAAAGAAAAGATACAGCAAATAAAACCACCAGAGAAGCTTCTTCCCTTGTGTACTTGTTATGCATATGGTTTTGTGCTAAGGGGATGTAAAACAGTAACACCAGCACAAGATTACTTACACAGCGGTGATCTCTAAACATGTTTATGAAAGTTGCCCAACTTACGCAATCTTGGCACACACCGAGCACTTCCACTGCCCATCAGTTCCCATGACACGGCACTTATTGCAAACTCGAAGTCTGCAGGTTTGGCACACGTCTCCTCTGTCAAAGATTAAGCCCAGGCCTTTCTGACAGCGAACACAGATCCTGCTGTTCTCCTGTTGACAATGACGGTTTCCACCTTTCCTTCGCGCTTCCAGAAGCTCATTTTTCAATTTCCTAGAAGGAAGAAAATAGAATCTTTTAATTTGGAGATACAATTCAATGATCTGTAAGAACTTTTTAACAGACTGAGCACTAAAAACTACAAGACATAAATAAAATGCTTTTTTTATTAAGATATATTCCCTGTACTTTTTGACACACACATGACAGAGAAGAATAAATCTATCCTCCACCTCTCAGGCATACAGTCAAGAGGAAAATCTTGTGGTAGATCAGGATAAGTAAACGCAGACAGCTGAGCAGTTCTGGACATTTGGTAAACCCTCTTTGCTTGTACCTCATCAATAATTCAAATTGTGCTGAGCCCAGGTTGACAGCAGCTCAAAAGTGGGACTATCCTGTGCATCCACAGAAGTAAAAGAAAACCTTCCCTGTAATTAGTGTGCATTTAATACTATGCCAGTGTAGAGTTAGCTAGAAATGCATATGCAATTCTGCACCGGCTATTCAAAGCCATAAAAAAAAACCCAAACCAAAACATGTAAATAGATAGTGGTGTTATGCTGTGATGCCACAATTCCACAATTTAAAAAAAAAAGAAAAAGAAAAAAAGAAAAAGGAGAATGTCAGTTTAAATAATGCAACTTGCAGATTAGCAGTTCTGCTACTGACTCTGCAGGACAAAAATATTTGCATTTACGACCTAGTTTTGAAGGCTGCAGTTTCAATGGTGTATGAGTTGGGTCCTTAACAAGAAAATAACTGTGAGTTGTAACTACCATATTTCCAACAGCAAAAAAAAAAAAAAAAAAAAAAAAGGAATTTGAAGAGGTAGAGCCAGGAAGGATGACAGGAGAGACAGTTTTCTATGCCTATCTTCCCAAACCAGGGGCTCAAGCAGGACCCTGTCATAACCCAAACCTCTCACTATTAGCTCCCTACGCTTTGATCCCTGACCTCAGCTCCAGAGCTTTCTCTCCAATGCCACAGACTCTAGGTCTTATGTCTCCCACCCCGACCCACAGAACCATCTAGGTTGGAAGGGAATATTGGAGGTCACCTAGTCTAGGCTCACAGCCAAAGCAGGGCCAGCCAGGCTGGGTTGATCAAGGCTTTGTCCCACTGAATCTTGAGTAATAGAGTAACTCCAAGTAAAGAGCCTGCAATATCTCTGGGCACCTGTTCCAAAATCTGACTAACTTTTTTTTCTTTTTAAAAAAAAAAAAGCAAGCTTTCCTAATCTCCCACATTCCAGCTTGTTCCCATTGCCTCTTCTTTCACTGTGTACCTCTGAAAGGAGTCTGGCTCAAACCCACTTCTCTCAGCCTGTCCTCATACAGCAGGCTTCCCAGGTCTTTGGTCATCTTGGTGGTCCTTCTCTGGCCCCTCTCCAGCCTGTCCACATCTTTTTTGCACAGCGGGGACCAGAGCTGTACACAGTATTCCAGGGGTGGCCTGACAAGCACTGAATAGAGTGGGATAACAGCTTGTTTATCGCTGTTGGTGATGCCCTTGTTGATGCAACCCAGCATCCTGTTGGCCTTTTTGGCTGCAGCAGCACGCCGCTCACTCATTGAGCTTGTCCACCAGGAACCCCAGGTCCCTTTCCACCTATCCTAAGGTTCCCTTCTATCTTAAGGTCCTCCATCCTTTCAAACCCTTCCTGCACTCCACTCTACCCCAGAATACCTCCTCTCTAGGGCCCCAGCTGAGCAGCTAAGTTCTTTCAGTTTTACATGCCTGGGTGTTGCTGTGTCCCCATTCCCTCACCCTTCCCTAAAAAAAAATTCAGGCACTCCCATCAGCCAAGAGCATCCAGAGTCCCTCTATCACGAAGCACTCCAGCTCACTGAAATCACAATCTCTGCATGCACGTAGATGCTTTAAGGGGGCTTTAAAAAAGCTGGCTGCTGGCTTCACTTAAAGTCAGTAAAAAGGCGTCAGAAGAAAAACACTTTGGGAAGACAAAACCAGTAAAAGATTATAGGTTGCAGCCCAGTGAAGGAGGACGGGAACATTGCTTAGGCCACCAGGGACTAAGCTCTGACAGAATTAGGTTATTTGTGGATACATTGCCTTGCTAAAAGGTTGGCTAGTATTTTATTTCCCACTGGGATCCCATGAACAACAGCTGCTCTGCAGCCACCTGGCCTGTGGATGCTCAACCTCTGACGGCTTTTGAAAAAGGGCATGTCCAATCCCCCCAGGCAGCAACTACAAATCCTGTCAAGTGGGGTTTTTTTGGTGTTTTTTGGTTTTTTTGGTTTTGTTTTGTTTTTTTTTTTTTACTGGCCTCCATCCAAAAGCGATTTCTTCATTCTGCTTTGGACCCTTCTTCTCCCACATTCAATCCAAACAGCTTTTCTCTCATGCCATAGCCTTCAAAAGTCTGTCTAGACTTCACAAGCTTTCTTGGTACTTTGCTAATTGTTCTTGTTTATCAATTGCATCTTACATCTACCTACCTCCTGCAGAGATGCACTTAGTTACAGGTCCATCTCCATTATCTTCTTCTGTCAATCAGCCAGTTCCAAATGCAGATGGGTGACTTGCACTACAGCAACAGCCAACAGTGCTGCAATATTGCCACTTTACACAGGGAAGGGAGATGACCACCACTTTTGCCACCTCCTCCTTGGATCTACCTCCTAAACAAGCTTGCCTTCAATACCAACAAAAGTCAATTTACCTGCTTCTTCTGGACTGACAACTAAAGGAAAAAAAAAAAAAATCCTGCTACTACAATGCTCTCAACCACACCATTTTAAAAGAGATACCACATATATCCACTTGAATAACAAATACACTTTTCAGTGATTGTGAAGACATCTAATTACCACTGAGGTTATGGTCACTTACCTTTCACTAAATATCAAACATTCACAAAATGCTCTTCCCTCTCAGCAGTGTGAATTTGTCAGAGAAAAAGTACTGTGCTACATGGCCCTTTTATTTTAGTACAGCCACTTTTAGTACCAACCAATCTCAGGGAAATTTGTTAAGATTAGAATGTGCTTTCACACACTGAGAAGTTTTGCAGCACTCCAGGTTCAGCCCCAAAGCCCTCCCTGTCACAGCGGAGTGTCCTTCTTCACCAGGAATTCTTAATCTGGCCAATACTTCATGCTTCTGTTCCTCTCATCTACTTTTTGTCCTCCTGGAGCTTGCTGAAGTCATCCATTTACCTCCGCACTCGGTCCACTCAATGAACAGTGCTCAGAGCTGCAATGGGGAACGCTGCTGTCAGGAGACTTTCAAGCATGGAAAATGCAGACCCAAGAAAAAGACGAGGAAGGGCAGATCCACCTTTGCACCTGCCACCTGGATCACTGCCTTCAGCTGCACCCACCATCATTTCCTCTTGTCAAGCCATGCTGATTACTTCCAATGATTTTCTTGTCCTTAATGTGTCTAGAAATGGTGTCCAGGATTAGCTTCTCCATCCCTTTCCCAGGGATCAAGGTGAGGCTGTTCATGTTTCTCTTGTACTGGGGAGCCCAGAACTGGACGCAGGACTCCAGCTGTGTCTCACCAGGGCTGAGCAGAGGGGAAAGATCACCTCCCTTGACCTGGTGGTGACACTCCACCTAATGCAGCCCAGGATGCTATTGGTCTTTTTTGGCACAAGGGCACATTGCAGGCTCATAGTCAACTTGGTGTCCACCATGACCCCCAGGGCCTCTTCTGCCAAGCTGCTTTCCAGGCAGTCAGCGCCAAGCCTGTACTGGTGCATACAGTTATTCCTCCCCATGTGCAGGACTCAATGTTTCCCTTTGTTGAACTCCATGAGATTCCTGTTAGTCCCTTTCTCCAGCCTGTCAAGGTCTCTCCAAATATCAGCACGCTCATGTGGTCTACCAACCACTCCTCCCAGTTTTGTATCATCTGCAAACTTGCCGAGGATGCACTCTGTCCCACCATCCAAGTCGTTAATTAAGATCGTAAACAGTACTGGCCCCAGTATTGACCCCTAGGGTACACTGCTGCTGGCTGTCCTCCAGCTAGACTTTGTCACTGATCATAACCCTCTCATCCCAGAAGCTCAGTCAGCTCAGTCTGCCTCACTGTCTTTTTACATGGTCTGTACAAACTGGTGATGTCAAATGCCTTGCTAAAGTAAAAATAAACAACATCCACTGCTCTCCCTTCATGTACCAAGCCAGTCGTTTCATCACAGGTTATCAGGTTGGTCAAGCCTGACTTTCCCTTGATGAATCCATGCTGACTATTCCTGCAGACCTGCTTATCCTTCACATGCCTGTAAGTCATTTCCAGGATTAGCTGCTCCATCACCTTCCCAGGGACTGAGGTGAGGCTGACCAGCCTGTAGTTCCCTGGGTTCTCCTGTTTGCCCTTTTTGAAGATAGGAATGACTTTTGCTTTCCTCCAGTCCTCAGACACCTCTCCCAATCACCATGATCATTCAAAGATTATACAGAGTAGCCTTGCAATGACATTGGTCAATTCCCTCAGCACTCATAGGTACATCCCATCATGGCTCCTGGACTTTCTGTCCAGTTTGTTTAAATATTCCCTAACCTGATTCTCCTCCACTGAGGGCAAATTTACCTTCCCAATGATCTCAGGGAGCTGGGATTCCTGAAGACCTGTCTTACCAGTAAAGACTGAGATGAAGAAGGCACTGTGCACTTTGGCCTTTTCCCCATGCTTTGTCACTAGGTCTTCTGTTCCATGCAGCAGCAGGTCCACACTTGTCCTCGTCTTCCTTTTGCTTCTGGTGTACTTGTAAAGTGTTTCTTGTTGCATTTCACTTTCCTTGCCAGATTTAACTTCAGGTGGTTTTTGGCCTTCCTAATCCTATGCTTGCATGCTTAGACTCCCAGGTCACTTGTCCCTACTTCCACCTCCTATATATTTCTTTTTTATGTCTATTTTTGTCAGGATCTCCTTGTTCATTCATGCAGGACTCCTGCCACCTTTACTTGCTTACCTGCTTGTCACGATGGACCATTCCTGAGCTTGGAAGAGGCAATCCTTCAAAACAAACACCACCACCCTCTCCCCCCCCAAAAAAAAAGAAAAAAAAGAAACAG